GCTGTACTTGGAAACAGCTATGAAAGCTCTGTTGAGTCAACTTTTACTGAAGAATTAAGATTTGGCCTTCTGTTTGCACAAAAGCCAAAGGTTATTCTCTACATGAAAACTACTAAAGCGTTTGTTAAGAATGTAGTTTGAAGGCTCAGCAGTTAGCTCAGACCAAAGCTTACCTTGAAAAGGTCTGTGAGTACTAGGAGGAAGGTAAAATTGGAAATACTAAGTACTCGGTGCTGTCCGTTTTCCACAGTTACTCCTTTCCATTAGAACACTGCTTTGGTTGCTGAGCTCCTAGTGAAATAGTGGTGAGCAAAAGCTGTCTGTTCCCAACAGGAGCTCACTGGAGGTGTGCACACATACCAACAGCCAGGCTAGATGATTATTCAGCACTGGAGTATCTTTTTGTGGGTTTGGTGGGGGTGGGAGGAGTGGTATTTTGTTTTTTTTTTAAAGGAATCTCACTTCAGTTTGCGTCACAGCAGTCTCAACAAAGAGCCATGAGACATGTTTAACTCGTGATAACATGCTGATGTACTGGTAGAGTACAACATTTGGTTGGATTATTTTTGACCTGAAATACATTTTTATGCTGAAGGCAATAACAACTTTGTTTATATACAGTGAGGTGAGATGCCTCCAGCCATAGGCACTTTCTTGAACCCAGATATTTGTGCTACTGGTGAATATAAACACATAATTTAATGATGACTGTTAAATCCAGAATGGTCTGTGTGGGCACCCTGCTCCGTTCTTGGCTTGCCTTTTTCAACCTGTTGCTATGTGACACAGTCATCAGAAGGTGCCGTCTGACAGTTAGGATTGTTTTATTTTTATAAATATGACATAAAGTAAAATTCACTGCTTTCTAGGTGCATCCTGGAAGACTTCATGTAACACATTAGTAGCTACTTGGTAAGACTGATGATTTTTTTTAATGAATATTCAGTCAACACTCTCAGAGTTATGACTATTTATAAACGTAAATAAAGCTGCTTTTGGATGCTTCAGCAGCAGTGGTGACAAACCACTGTGCCACTTGTGATTAGCAAGAAGACTGTGACACATTCTCTTAAAACTGAATTAATAGTAATTCACGCTTCTGTTCTCTCTGAACTTGATTATTGTAATTCCTTTGTCCAGGCATGAAGCTACACATCTAAGGGCTCTGACTAGCACACAACACAGTCAGTCACTGTGTGGTAGCCTGGCAGAATACTGGGACCCTGTGCTCTTGGGGTACCCTGACTTTTCATAAGTGGATTCCTGCAGGATTTTCTCCTCTTCAGAGTCTATCAAGTCTCTCCTTTCTCATCCAGTAGTGTGTTACTGCACTGATGTTCCACTGAAGTGGGAGGGCTGGGGAGAATAGGAAACTGTGGCTTTAATGGTGGCACTCAGAACTAAATTCCTTAACTCCCAGTGAGTTCTTGGCCAGTGGGTAAGTGCTTTCCTTTTTTAACTGCTGCACGTAAGTGCTGAACTCACTTGTGAACTCATGCCATGTTTCATTCAGAGTTGGAGGGAAGACAACTTATAAACAGTTTTCAGAGTTTTAAAACATTGTCTGACTGTGAATACTTCCCAATTGAATGCTAAAAAGTTAATTTGTGTGCAGTTATATCTCTAAGGTCAAATTTTGCTCTGAGAATTTAGAGGGTTGGTTTTGTGGTTTATCTTATGACACGAACCTACCAGAGCAAAGAAAAATAAATATTCTAGGTTACTACTATCTGAATAGATGTGAAAGTAGTTTTGTTCTGATTTGTTGGAGTTTTTTTAGTCTATTTAGTTTCAAATAGATAGTAGTTTGCAAAATCTTATAAATCTAGGATTAATTTCACAAACTTTAGCAATACTTCACATTCTTAACGTTTTTTTAATACCCTCAATCTAACTTTAGAACCGTGTATGCATTTTAAGGCACCACAACCAAGAGTCTTGATGGCAATTACTTTTGTCAGTATCATGTACTTCAACCTCTTTACAAATATAAATGAACCCAAAATAACTCCCTGGCTTGTCAAATAAGAAAAGTACATTTGAAGCTCACATACTCACTTGTATTCCTTTCCTGAAAGTATTACACTACATAAGAACTAGGGATGACTGTATGAGCCATTGCAGCCGCTGGTGGGTGGGTTTCTCCTGCAGCTGTTCATTCCAGGAGTCTCATTATGCTGCGCGCTCTCTCTCTCTTTTTTTTTTTTCCCCCCCATGTTCTTGTGTCTAAGAATGTTCGCCTGGTACTTGCATGGTATGTACTCCAGCTGTAACTTAATTTTTACCCTAATGTTTTCATAATAGTGTGCTCTCTGCACAGCATGGGTATTGATAAGCACCTGCTTGGCTAAGGGTATTTTAGGGTATTAGGGTGGTGGTGGCCAGAAAGTCAGAAATAGCTGACAAGGCTGGTTTGTTTTCTTTGGGGAGGATGTGCTTTGTATGCACATATCGCTTGCCAAAGGTATTATTTCACTGAGCACTACCAGCCTTTTTTAAAAAAAAAAAATTGGTCATAACTTGTAAATTTTGTGCCTTTTTTTGTAGTAGTGAGAATTTCCTTTGAGTGAAAACACAGATATTCCACATTCAACTAACATGTTCAAAACATACTGGCTCGGTGACAGTTTTAGGCCCGGATTAGAAAACTTGGAATTATGACTTCTTCAGCAAATATAGATGTATTCACAATGTTGTTATCTTTAGAGCTTCATGTAATCTGTAGCAGGCTGGATGCAGACTTTACAGAGGAACCTCTGGTTCTGTGATATTCTGGGCTGGAAACTCTGTGGTTCCTTCATTTATACCAATTACTTTTTCACATATGTACAGAATAAATTTTAGTTAACTAGCATTATTCTCATTTATGTGTAATCCATCTCATAGCCTGGTGTTAAATACGTCAGTGTCAGTTTGGGCCTATGTTGTTGCCATTGAGCTGCAAACTCACGTGTAACAGCGACAGCACAGTAATTATCAGACAATATCCAAAGGCTCTGAGGCTTCAGTCTGTGGTATAGTTGGGACTTACCTGTGAGAGTGGTGGAGACATTCTTAGATTGTGAATAAGTTGATAGATGAGACTACTTGACAGCTGCATTTTGTGTACATAAGAGTTGGGTCCTTGTCTTAACATCTTCATTAAAGCCATCAGTAAGATCTTTATCTGTATGGCCCGAGTATTACTCTTGTGGGAGTTTGTAATTTGCATTGCTACTTAAGAATATAGCTGTTTATTTCTAATCAAGTAAGTGTTGCATGTTGCCTACAGACTGCGAGGATCAGGAAAATAATATTTCATTGGATTGCACTGGAACTAGATGCTAGAGGGCTTTTCTAACTGTGGGGTGTAGAAACTTTTGTTTTAATTGCAAATTTATAATGGAAAACAACTTAGCCAAAAGAAGAGGTTCAGTGGAAAAATCTACAACCAGGTTATACATCCCTGTACTACTCTACGTTTAACAGTATCATTGCAGTTTCAGCAACTGCTTATGTGAAAAAGTGATATTAGAAAAGCATTTCATGTAATATTAGAGGGGAATTCATGCAAATTATGAGCTAGACATAAGGAAACATCACGTTACTCATCTGCTCTTACCAGACCTCAAGCAAATGCTTTACAAACCAGAGTTTGGTTTTTTATTCTGTTCCAGCTCTTCTTCACATTCCAGTTTGTGATTGTTTCTCAACCAACTTGGATGCTGCTGTACTTTTCCTCTTGGTTTTAAGAGGTTGGAAACAGAACAACTATTAAGAATGATCTGAAAAAATTAGAGACTTTATGATGTTGTGATTACAAGTTGGAATCTGCCTAACTCAATCTAGTAAAATCTTTGTCCAAACTCTTAATATTTTTTTCCCTCAGAGAGTAGTCTCAAAGACAACTATTTATTGTTATGTACAATTTTTGAGCTGTCATTCCGAGTCCGTAACTAATAAAACCATAGCAACCACTGAAATAATAGTTAAGTTATGTGGATTTGTAGCATTTCAATTGATGAGTAAACCATTCTGGTATATTGGCATTTGGCCGCTTTGCTATGTAATAGTGTTTTTTATGAAGTATTGCCGTAGCAACAGATCTGGATGACATTGAGTAGCTGGTTGCTGCTGACTATTGGATGTCAAACAGACTTTTAGCAACACATGTGTAATGTCTGAACGTGAAGTAACCCAAAATAAATGTTTGTACTCTACTGAGAATGTAGTATGGGGCACATCAAGCCAAAGTCTGATTTACTGACTTATGAATTTAGTCTTCCTGTGCAAGTGTTTCTGTACAGTGATAACAAAACCTTGTATGCTAGTAATATGTGCAACAGTTGAAATCTGAGGATAAAATCAAGGAAAACTGCAAGAAACTATATTTCAGATGATTTTAAGCATAAAATATCAGTTATTTTAAAGGTGTTAAGAGTTCTAGTACTCTAGGAAATACTTCTGCGTGTGTGATTTCAATGGAAAAGCTTGTTGGGGAAAGAGGATACAGAGAAGATTAAAAACTTCACTTGTTCTCCTGAAGAACTAGGAAGTGAAAAACAGCATGAGAAGTAGAAAATGAAATGAATTAAAGGGAAGCTGAAACCTATTTTTTTTTTTAGTGGCTTTTATTTAGAACAGTATTTCTTGTTTATTAAAACATTGAGCATTTGTTATACAACAAAGCAAAGTTAAAACCAGAGGATTTAGATCAATAGAGCAAAGTAATATCTTTAGAGAGATCTTCAGAAGCCTATCAAAGAAAAGGCAAAACCTCTGGGGACATATTTTTTCTTCTGTCTCTTTGTTGCAGGTGATGTTTGTAAGTCCACTTTAAAGACAGAAAAATACAGTTCCCTTTATATATAGATATATTAGCAGGTCATAGGAGAATGTAGATACAATGTTGAACGTTCCAAATGAAGTACTACATTAAAGTATATATGAAACACACTTTCAAGACTTAAATGAAATTTTCAGATAGTCTAATAATCAGTTTGGTTTTTTTTATTTTAAAGATAAAAATACAGACACTACTGTAAAGGATAATACGGATGATTTCTGCCTTCGAGATACATTAAGCATTGCATCGACGGACTCCTTTGTTTCCACAGCTGAGGTAAGACTTTTAAAGATTGCTTCTTTAAAGATTCATTGATCTATTTGAACAGCGAACAGAAGAATCTTAATTTTTTGCTAATTATTGTAAGCAAAGTGTATTTCTCTTATGGGGAAAAATAGAAGCTTTCTTTGATTAGTTGTAATCAGCTTCCTAGCAGTTGAAGTAATAAAGTTGGCATCTATTTGCTTATTATCTCATTTGTTTTTTTTTTCCTGCACTGGCAGAATGTTTCCCCAACTCCTTCTAGAAAGAAGTTACTTTTGAAAAATGTATCGTATTTTCATGAGTGAGGAAGCATGGTCAGTTGAGGCTATAGTAGTTCCTTTCACCATGAATTGCATTTTTTTTCTGTCGTGGTTTTAGGCTGATCCAGCAA